GTGTAATAAAGTCACACATCATCAGTGATAATTATCCTAACATAGTTCAATTAAGCATACCAAGAGGAATGGAGGAAAACAGCAATACTCTAATCGCAGGTTAAAAATATGAAAAAAAAATCATTGTAATAAATCACTGGCCAATCTGACTTTTTACTATCTGCAATTTTTAAGTTAAAACTGAAAGCAAGGTTTTCATTTCTGTCTTTTTTAATAACATTTTGCTCAGTATGTGGAAGGATCTACAATGTATTTGGATCAGCAATCTGTTCAAGGCCGTTTTCAGTTTGTGTGTATATGAATATGCCAGTATTTGTGTGTGTGTGTCTGTGCAGTGAGAACAGCTGCGATACAGAGCCTGTCGTGGGCGTGAGTTAATTAGTGCAGAAGATGATTGTGTTATTTGGGCGGCCGACCGGCACCGGGGTTCAAAGTGAAGAGAGGCAGGTGAGCTTGTACGGCCTGCAGCTGCATGTTAAACAACCGAAATGGAATCACAGAAAGGCCCGCCAAATAGTTGCCACAAGCAAGATTATAACTGTGTATAGCCGGACCGAGGAACTAGCCTAATTAAATAAACTACTGGGGAAAACATCAGTTCTGACACGCAACAGGCAGCTAATGTTAAGGTGTAATAAAGTCACACATCATCAGTGATAATTATCCTAACATAGTTCAATTAAGCATACCAAGAGGAATGGAGGAAAACAGCAATACTCTAATCGCAGGTTAAAAATATGAAAAAAAAATCATTGTAATAAATCACTGGCCAATCTGACTTTTTACTATCTGCAATTTTTAAGTTAAAACTGAAAGCAAGGTTTTCATTTCTGTCTTTTTTAATAACATTTTGCTCAGTATGTGGAAGGATCTACAATGTATTTGGATCAGCAATCTGTTCAAGGCCGTTTTCAGTTTGTGTGTATATGAATATGCCAGTATTTGTGTGTGTGTGTCTGTGCAGTGAGAACAGCTGCGATACAGAGCCTGTCGTGGGCGTGAGTTAATTAGTGCAGAAGATGATTGTGTTATTTGGGCGGCCGACCGGCACCGGGGTTCAAAGTGAAGAGAGGCAGGTGAGCTTGTACGGCCTGCAGCTGCATGTTAAACAACCGAAATGGAATCACAGAAAGGCCCGCGAGGGGGAGGAAACATCGACTGAGAGGGAAGCAAATGAGAGAAAGGTGAGAGAGAAAAATTACAGGGAAGGGCTATTAGGAGGGATGGCAGAGACGCTAATTAAAATTAGGCCATGAAACTACATATGGGCCGATGGAAAATACAAAAGAAAAGTCTAACTAGTCAGACATTAAGAACATGAGGCCTTTTACCAACTTCAGATAAACATTTTACAGCAATAGCCTCTGGCATTGACTATAACTTACAGACATCTTTTTCTGAAAAGTTCAAAAGTTTTCTAAATGATCACAAAATCTTTGAAATTAATATTGAAAATATGTAACCTGACCAATGTGTCACATAGAAAACCTTGGAACTTTTTTATCAATGAAGCTCGTTAACTATTGTACTGCAGTCAGATGCACCGAAAAGAGAAGTATTGTGTGATTTGTTTTTTATTCCTACTAATATGTATTAGTATCGTATTTAAACAGAATCCTTGTGGGTTATTGACACTTTGACTGTATTCAAGACTCCCGGCATACTAATGCCTACTGGAACCATACTTTCCTTAAGAACAGGAAGCCTTTAATGCAGGCGGTAATAAAAAAAGGGTTCAACATTCAAGGGTTATTTGAAGTAGAACAAAATATCACAATGTCACCTAACATAATATCCCGAACCTCAAACAGTTCACCAAGCACAGTTGGATTTTTATCTGGAATTAGAGTATTATACACATTCATTCCTGCCAGGATGTGACCAAGGAGGAGAAAAAAAAAAAAAAACTTTTGAGAAGTAAAACTCACAATAATCATGTGACTGGTCTTCTACTGGAACTTGTGCTTTAGAAAACTGTCCCAAATTGAACAATGTTGAAATTGCTGAATTGTTCAAAGAAAGGAAGAAGAAGGACATTGTCTATTTTGACACCATATAAGGGACACGAAAGGTTGATGAAATAAGCTGCTCTGGCCAGACTGGAACAAAAGTAAGTTTTTTTATGGACTACATTTGAAACAACATATGTTGATAAAAACTAGTGTTGCGCCGATGCCATTTTTTGGCCCCGATACCCAATACCTAGCTGTGCAGTTTCGGCCGATACCGATATCATAATAATGTTAAATAATTGCCATAATGGCTTAGTCAAGCTGCTGCCTCCCTTTGTAAAGCAGGAAAAAATCTAATACAAAGTGAATCCAGTAGAACTTTTTATTGCCTACCAGGAATGGGTGACAATAGTTGAATAAACTTTTGATTGTCAAAATGGTATCGGTGCCCTATTTGTTGGTACTCGCCGATACCGATACCACCATTTTAGGGCAGTATCGGGGCCCCGTCCGATACTGGTATCGGTATCGGTGCAACACTAATAAAAAGCTAACAACCTAAACACTCCATCCCAACCTTGTCCCATGGAGATGGCAGCATCTTTGGAATAAAACCTGTAAAGTCGGGCATACACTTTACGATTTTTTGCTCTTTTCGGGCCAATTCTCCAGTCGTGCAAGAATTTTTTCGAGCGGGCCGACTCTCAGCCTGATCGTGCATTGTGTAGTGTAGAGGGGGTAACAAGGGGCAATCAGCCTCTCAATACCACCCCCCGATCAGGAATAGTAAGGTCGGGAGAAAATCAAACATGTTTGAAATTCAGTCGGCCGTCGTAAGGTCGCATCAGAGCAACTTTTAAAGCCTGCAGTTTCGTCTTACAGTTTGAGCTGTAGCTACGTGCAACGATTGAAAATGTGTGTATGCCCGACTTTAGAGGCTGAAGGGACTTGAAGTGCGGCCGGGGATGACAAGGAGTACAGAAACCTAGTTCATTCAACCACAGGTACAAGTTGAGGACTTAAGTCAGCAACAAAACAAAATTCCAGGCCAAGAAAATAATAGTTTACATCAAAGGATGATAATCTGTTGCATGAGTTGAAAGTGATGCCACACAGATTAGATCTTGTTTGTGTTAGACATTTCATTTAAGTCTTGGCTTGTAAAACAGATTACCATGAGCTCCTGCTGAACTTATCTTTAACCTTCTTTTACTAAAGTAAACGTTGGACTGTGTGCTTGTTTTATCAATCTTTAAGAGCCTCAGTGCTGATTCTGAGCCAATTTCTCTAACCTTTTTCGATAAAAGTATTCAATCTGTTTGCTCTCCCTTAATTGGTAATTTCTTTCACCTGCCGTTTTCCTTCCCTGCCTCAATTATAATTTATTCCTCTCACCTGTTTCTTCTGTTTATATTCAGTTCAGCCTGAGCTTTCAGTGCCAGATCATTATTTGTTTTCATTGAGTCTGTCTGTTCAGTTTGATTTCATGGTTCATGTCCTGGATCCTGGCGGCCAGTGGAAAGAGGTTTTAGTGTTTGTCTTGTCTCCTGATCGTCCACTGTTCCTCCCCCGCTGAGTCCTCTGGGTTTTTGGCTCTATATGTGGGGAGGTTCAGTTTTTATCCAGAAAGCCTGGCTCCAGGGAGGAGACCAGTTTAAAGTCCTGCATCAAGTTCTGGATCCACGTCCTGTCTCGGCTACCCTCTTCCACTGAGCCTGTTCATCTGCACCTGATCCTGTCTGCTCCTGTCTGCTCCTTTCGGACCCTGTCAGACTCTGAACCCTCCTGGGAGCCTGTGGATGCCTGGAAGTCTGGATCCTGCCACCTGTTCTGTTCCTGCCTGATCTGGATCCTGTTCCTGTCTGTTCTGGATCCCTGACCAGGATCGGCTTCCAGCATGCTCTGGGACTGCAGCACTTGGGGACATTCTTGGACTGGATTGTTAAACCAGAAAGTGTCTGAGATTGGGCAGGGCCCCGCCCCCCTCCTGCAGTGTCTGAGAGCCTCAGCTCCACTTTAGTTTTCTTTATTTAATAAATGTTTTGAACTTTCCTACTGGCTGTCTCTCCTTGAATACTGGGTCCATCTGTCCTCGGTTAATGACAAATTCTGCTTTAATGTAGATCCACTGAAAGAATTAACGGACGGTGAGAGTTTAAGCGAAATTATGGTTGTAAAAACTATTACATTTGGCAAAAAGTCAAATATAATTTTTCTAGCATTTAATAACGGTGAACATTTTAATGTTAGATTTTCACTTTAAACTCCTTTTTGTAATTTTGGTTGCAGTGTGAAAAATTAAAACTGTGTGGTACTTTTTGAGCAAGCAAGAGATAACGGATGTAACCTTTAAGTTCTGCTATGGAATTCCAGTGATGCCACAGGACCACTTAGCTTTATGTAAACTGATTGTGGTTTAATTCACAAAGGAAACGTTTTCTGTGATGTTGCAGCAAAAGTACAGATAGTACTTCTTCTGTATGTTTGCTTCTGTCTCCTAGAACCCCAGTCGGCCTCGGCAGATGGCCGCTCACACTGAACCTAGTTCTGCTGGAGGTTTCTTCCTGTTCAAAGGGAGTTTTTCCTCTCCACTGTCGCTACAAGCATGCTTAGTGTGAGGGATTGTATTTGAGTCAATGAGTCGATGAAATCAACTGGTTTTTCCTTAGATAGAAAACTTTGAATCAATGGATGATCTGGTGAACTGTAAAGTGCCTTGAAGTGACGTGTTGTGAATTGGCACTCTATAAGTAAACAGAATTGAAATCAATATAGATAAGAAAAGGCCTTGTTTGTTTGATCAGCATTTAGGCAAAATGGCTTTGAATACAGCCAAGGATGTGTCATGATCCTCACAACGACCCTGAGTAAGGTTGAAAGCTCATAATATATAATAACAAGTTTATGACTTGAAGCATGTAGCAGCTCAAAGATTTTGGTGGTTTGGGATGTTTGTGTCTGTGAAGTCTCTATATCCTTTGTGCTAATCCTGATGTTCTCTTTGCGTTGTATCTGAGCATACATACAAAAAAATAAAGTGTTGTATACCTGCTTTGACTGTGAAGATGAGGGAGAAACAAAATAATCATTATGCATATGTGACTAATTCCAGGTAGGATTATTGATTTCTGACCTTTTTAGAGCTGCTGGTGTAGAGCTCATTCTAAAAGGATGGGTGTATCATTCATACCTGCTCCGGCTGGTTGGCGTTGGACAACGGGATAACCATCCAGATTATGTTGAGGTTGGTGAGAGCAGCGCTGGTGGTAAAGGAGCAGGGCAGGATGGCTGCCTGGCCCCGAGCCACCTGGATGCTGCTCTGGGACACAGTTACTTCCAGGGCCCGGACACTCACTGCGGAAAGAAGCAGGAAGTTGTAAGTATCTTGGTTCAAAAGAATGAACAAAACTTGTATTTTAAGTATACAATAACTCATAATTGTTTACATCAGTTCAGGTTAAAATGTGCTTGGATGATTAGATCAATGCGAAGATGGACAGTTAATGTCTAAACAGTAAAAGTACTGTACAGAGATTTGATGCCACCATATAACGTCCAGCTCAACAACCCCTTGATTTCTACTGTTATAGATATGCAACAAACCAGTTTTACTACGAAGACAGCCAAGATAACGTGAATGCACACCAATGCCAGCTATTATGTTGCTTCCACACCAAATATAATTCAAGCTCTTTAACCAACATTTTGCATGACCAACAGCAACAATACTTCACTCACTTCACCACATCATTTTCAACCAATTCTATCTCTATTCTCCCACTCTGCAGAATCTGTTAATTCAATCTCTAACGTTCTGCTCTCTCTGCTGTTTCTCATACTAGCTTCATCTGGTCTGTTCCTGTTTTGCTGTTACTCCATCCTGGAGAGAAATATCAGCTGTGCTGATATTCCACAAGTGTGAAAATCTTAGCGCAGATATTATTTGTGATTTACAATTGTTATAAAAACTTGAGTTGTTGCCATTAAGCACACTTGTCCAGTAGGAGGAATTCTCAAAGCAGAGTCGTAGTTTCTTTTTGGTAATTAATTTGACATTAAACCTAAAGATAAGATGAGATAGACTTTAGAAAAATATCAGCTGTGCTGCTGCCATCAGCATCTTTGTTTATAGATGTCAAACAGTGATCGGCCTGTTTTCCAGTGTAGTCCTTTTTCTCTGACTGCGACTGGCTGGATGTGCTCTCTTCATCATCTAACATCGGAGCTGGCTTGGAGCTCGTCTGCCTGGCTATGTGTTTCCTGGACGGGGCCGTCTTTTACAGCTGCTTTTTCTATCTCTGCTTCTGTCTCCTTGAACCCCAGCCGGCCTCAGCAGATGGCCGCTCACACTGAGCCTGGTTCTGCTGGAGGTTTCTTCCTGTTAAAAGGGAGTTTTTCCTCCCCACTGTCGCTACAAGCATGCTTAGTGAGAGGGATTGCCTTTGAGTCAATGAGTCGATGCAATCAACTAGTTTCCCTAAGATAGAAAAATTTTAATCAATCTGACTGGATGATCTGATGAACTGTAAAGTCCCTTGAGATGACGCAGCAGTGCTACCCACTGTCCCACTAAGCAGCCTACATCTACACTTCATTCATTGTCGAAATATGTTTTTTCACCTGGGGGGGGCAAAGCCTGTTCCCTCCACCCACTGAGTGTCAGAGAACAACCAGACAGCTGATGAGCTGCTGTACATGTTACATACAGGTGCTGGTCATAAAATTAGAATATCATGAAAAAGTAGATTGATTTCAGTAATTCCATTTAAAAAGTGAAACTTGTATATTATATTCATAAATTACATACAAACTCATATATTTCAGATGTTTATTTTGTTTAATTTTGATGATTACAAATGACAACAAATGAAAATCTCAAATTCATCATATCAGAAAATTAGAATATTACTGAAGACCAATAAAAACAAAGGATTTATAGAAATGTTGGCCAACTGAAAAGTATGAACATGAAAAGTATGAGCATGTACAGCACTCAGTATTTAGTTGGGCCTCCTTTGGCCTGTATTACTGCAGCAATGCGGCGTGGCATGGAGTCGATCAGTCTGTGGCACTGCTCAGGTGTTATGATAGCCCAGGTTGCTCTAATAGTGGCTTTTAGCTCTTCTGAATTGTTGGGTCTGGTGTATTGCATTTTCTTCTTCACAATACCCCATAGATTTTCTATGGGGTTAAGGTCAGGAGAGTTTGCTGGCCAATTAAGAACAGGGATACCATGGTCCTTCAACCAGGTACTGGTAGCTTTGGCACTGTGTGCAGGTGCCAAGTCCTGTTGGAAAATGAAATCTGCATCTCCAAAAAGTTGGTCAGCTGCAGGAAGCATGAAGTGCTCTAAAACTTCCTGGTATGTGGCTGCGTTGACCCTGGACCTCAGAAAACACAATGGACCAACACCAGCAGATGACATGGCACCCCAAACCATCACTGACTGTGGAAACTTTACACTGGACTTCAAGCAACGTGGATGAAGTGCCTCTCTTCTTTTCCTCCAGACTCTGGGACCTTGATTTCCAAAGGAAATGCAAAATTTACTTTCATCAGAGAACATGACTTTGGACCACTCACCAGCAGTCCAGTCCTGTTTCTCTTTAGCCCAGGCAAGACGCTTCTGACGCTGTCTGTGGTTCAAGAGTGGCTTGACACAAGGAATGCGACAGCAGAAACCCATGTCTTTCATACGTCTGTGTGTGGTGGTTCTTGAAGCACTCACTCCAGCTGCAGTCCACTCTTTGTGAATCTCCCCCACATTTTTGAATGGGTTTTGTTTCACAATCCTCTCCAGGGTGCGGTTATCTCTCTTGCTTGTACACTTTTTTCGACCACATCTTTTCCTTCCCTTCGCCTCTCTATTAATGTGCTTGGACACTGAGCTCTGTGAACAGCCAGCCTCTTTAGCGATGACCTTTTGTGTCTTGCCCTCCTTGTGCAAGGTGTCGATGGTCGTCTTTTGGACAACTGTCAAGTCAGCAGTCTTCCCCATGATTGTGTAGCCTATAGAACTAGACTGAAAGACCATTTAAAGGCTTTTGCAGGTGGTTTGAGTTAATTAGCTGATTAGAGTGTGGCACCAGGGGCCATCAATTTTGAACCTTTTCACAATATTCTAATTTTCTGATATGATGAATTTGAGATTTTCATTTGTTGTCATTTGTAATCATCAAAATTAAACAAAATAAACATCTGAAATATATGAGTTTGTATGTAATGTATGAATATAATATACAAGTTTCACTTTTTAAATGGAATTACTAAAATCAATCTACTTTTTCATGATATTCTAATTTTATGACCAGCACCTGTATTTTAAAAGTAAACACTACTTTTCACCCTCTCAGCACATGATTTCTTGGTCTCCATTTAATGTATACCACAAAACAAACAGGATGTGCGAAGAACAAAGTGTCTCTTTTGTAACGCTCTGAGCAGAACAAACAGACATCTACACCGCGCGCTAGAGGATCACATGAAAGATGAATCAGTTGGATGAGGAGAGACGACACTTCATCTCATGACTTACTGTACTTGTATTATTCATCCTTTTCAAAGAATTGCATCTTTGTTACCTCTAATATCACTATGTCTTCAATAAACTTAACAAACTGAGAATAATCTATTGTTTTTATATTTAATTTGGCATTTCATGTTAGCATACAGCTCATAAATCACTATCAAAACATATTTTTTTATGCACCAAAGTGGTCCATCTTCTCTTACTATGATGCTCTGGAAAAGCTCCACATCTGTGCTCGGCTGTCAGTCGTTACGGAGCCAAGAAGACACATTTATACATATTGCATCTATTCTTAGACAGGCTAAAGACATTATAAACAAAATTGAGTTAGATCAGCCCCGCGAGCATGCATCCATGTCCAAAAAACCCAGATGGGAAGTAATCTTATCTCGACATGGTGAGGGGAATGATGCACTGATATGATTACAAATAATTGATCATGTCCTGTGAATGGTCCCTGTTATTGATATTGTTAGATGATGACCCCACCGCAAGTCAGTCAGAGAAACTGTTGGGTTGTGGTTGAGATTTTTGCATTAAATGTGAATCTTAATTTGCAGAAATGCTAAGCCTGTATGGGGTGACTCTTGTTCCATTTCTTTTTGTAAGCAAAGGGAAATATTGGAAATTTAAATTAAAAAAATGCAATCCAGAAATGTAACTTTGAAAAGCTTCTTAATCAAAAAGATTTGTCCATAACCTTACTGTTTCCTGACTTTTTTTTTTTTTTCAAAAATTTCTGTCGTTTTTTTTTTTATCTTCTATTTTTTTTTTTTTTTTTGCAGATTTTATATTTTTTGATTGATTGACATTTTATTCTTTCCTACTTGTATTTTGAGTAGCATCCCGCTGCAGCCTGCGGGAAGGCGGGAAGGCTTGACATCAAGCCCCGCCCACATCAAGGACGGCCATATTGGAAATGCTGACTTAACAGGGGAGGGAAGCACATAGACATATAAAAAGATATATATAAAGATATATGTAAAGATATGTTTTCATCTTAATTGTGAGAAGTTATCCCTCGACCCCTGACGTCAATAGTAAGTCAATTTAAACAAAAATACGCGGCACAGTGCTGAGGCATCATTAGTGTTTTCAGCTTGAATCAGCAGGTTTGAGTAGCAGGTCGACCGCCCCAATATGGCGGCCGTGATTCCTGCGCTGCGACAGCCAATCTACTCTTATTATGTCTATGGGGAAGCACGTGGCGCCGAAGATTATTTCTTTTCAAATAAACTTTCTAAAACCTTCTTTCTCTGTTTGAGTCTTTCCAGGTTGAAGTTACATTTAAAGTTTTAAATTAATCCCTTTTGGTTTTGCAAAAATTGGATATTTAAGGTCTTTGGAGCACAGTTTTTTAATCGATTGCAATTGGTACTACCAATTTAATTTACGTTTTATGACATTTGTTTGTGATAGGGTTTGAGGATAGATAAATACAGCTTCATAATAATTCCTTATTGTTGTTTATTTTAGACTGTTTGTTACTAATGTTATTTTAACATCTAAAAATAAGATTTAATAAAGATTTAAAAATAAAAAGGACATACCACGTGACAGACATACCATGTGACATAACACATTTTTTTTGCCATTTCTCTCGCCAGCGCCTACAGTATAGGCAAGAGCGGTCAGCATTTCCAATATGGCTGCCCTTGATGTGGAAGGCTGTAGCGGGATGTACTTGTGTATTTTACAGATCATGTTTTCCTCACATCTGGGAATGGGCTTTCCTGTGGAGTTAGGGGCGAAGATGCATTTCTATGGGCTTGCATGGATGTCAGCAACTATGGAAGAAAAACAGTCTCGTTGGAATCTGAC